ATGTGTTAACAATTCCTATTTCTACGGTTGCATCGGAATCGGCTTTTAGTGTTGGAGGGAGAGTATTAGATCAATATCGTAGTTCGTTATTGCCTGAAATTGTTCAAGCTTTGTTGTGTACTCGAGATTGGCTTTTTGGCAAAGGAGGTATTAATTATATAACTAAAAACTAGTCTGTTTTTTTTCTGTTTTTTTTTTCATTATGTGAATTAATAATGATTTGTAATTTTTGGGTTTTCTTCAATGCTTAGCCATGGAGGAAGAGATAGAAATCCTTACTGAAGATGTCTTCAAACTTAATTGTGAAGATACTAGATCGGGACAATGCTCCAATAGTATTTCTCTTGATGATTGATGTGAGGTATGGATGAGTAATTGATATTTTATCAATATAATATTTCTCAATAATTGTATACTTTCTCATAGTTGTCTATGTTTTTTTTTTCTTCCAGGAACATTGCAAGTGAAATGTTGAAGTCTGGATCACATTCATGGATGCTATACATGTTGTTTTCTTTTTTGTTATCTCAAGTTTGGTGTAAATGTTTAATATATTTTTAGTTTTTTTTTGGGAATGTTAATGATCTTTTTGGGCATGTATAATATAATGTGTTGTTTGGAACGACATGAATGCCATGTCTATATTTTGGTGTAAATGTTTAATACATTTTAAGCTTTTTTTGGGATTTTTTTCCTGCATCTATAATGTATTGTCTGTCAGTAATTGATATTTTATTTGAAGATTTAAAAATATATTTTTAAAAATGGTTTATTTTTCTTATCGTGTAAATCGTGTCGTGTCGTGTGATTCGCGAATTGTAACGGGTCGTGTTCGTGTTGAGCATTTTCAACCCGTTTTCTTATCGTGTCGTGTCGTGTCAACCCGTTAAGAAAAGCGGGTTGACACGAACACGACACGAATACTGATAACACGACACGAATGCCAGGTCTATATGAGAATAGGGCTTTGTGGTGAAAACCAAGGTATCCCCCGCGCGATTGCGGGGACTAACCCTCGAGGTACTGTCGGGCGCAAAGCGGGGACCTCTCCCAACAAAGTCTGCTCTATTCGCAAGAGCCTGGGATCGAACCCAGGACCTCTTGTTTAAAGGATCCAAGCCCCTTCCATTTGGACCAACTCCTGTTGGTGAGAATAGGGCTTTGCCAAGTGACTATATGAGCCAATTTCCCTCTTTTCTTTTAGTTTCATGCTAAAAATAATGCATTATTATTAGTAATTATGCTCATAATTGTAAGAGGTCTACTGCCATTTATGCCACTTTATTTTGCTTTCAATGAGAGAAGATAAGATTTATTATAACTTACAGATCTTTAATTGAAAATTAAGTTGAAAGATTGAATGTTAAAATTTCATCACACAGTTCGCACACTAGATTGAAGAGGCATCTCTTTATAGATTATCATGTGTCATTACTAGTATGAATTTTGCATTTTATGTATATACGCTTTTAGTTGTGGGTTTAATTTCTCTGAAGACCAGAGCTAAATTTGAATAAGATGTTTAATCAAAAGATGTAATGATTAACATGGATTTTGATAGATGAGTGGCAGTGCAGAATTTATGTTGAAATCCCTAGTAGCATGGGAAAAAGGACTTGTAGCATTTAGAATCTGGTTTAGTACTGGACATCTGCATTGCGGATGTCATCGAATCTACATTCGTTTAAGCGACTGTTTAATTCACTCAAGTTGGAATGTGCGTGGATGTTATTTTTGCTTTTTCATCCATTCAGCGGCCCCTGCTTTGAGGTGTACGTAAAATGTGTGCGTGTGTGTCAATGAATTACTTAGATATGGACTTTTCTTGATATTTTTTAATTTGGTGTGGTTTGGTTTTTATGTTATGCAATTGAATTACTTAGAAATGGACTTTTCTTGAGGGCAAATTGGTCATTATTTATCCTAAAATTTGGTTAAATCTGACAGAAAATTAGACGGTGGGACCATTTGAGTAATTAATATAGAGTTGAGGGACCATTTGAACGAATAATTTAATTGAGGCCCCAAAATGTAAATCGCATACAAATTTGGAGACCATTTGAGTAATTTACCCTAATAGATATTGCATTGTTGTCTGCTTGATGCTCCTGTCTCTTTCTAAAATTTGCCTAAGGGCATCAGGATAGGGCCTTAATAGGTTCATGCTTTCCCATTTTTTCTCCTTGACGCAATTTAGCACTGAGAGGAAATATGTCAAAGATGCCCTTTACGCCCCAGCTTTATCATTGAATTACTGTTTTTTACATAGTAAGTATATGTACACTTATCAGATATTATTTTAGAATTATCGTAAAATTACAAAAAAACGGTGCTAGGTTTGTATATGATGGAATGAACGGTGTGATCATTAGCAATGTGCATGTGCTGGCAGGTTGTTATGAGTGTGTAGAGTAATTGTTTGGTGTTTGGGTGTGAGAAATGGTACTGTTATCAATTTTATATTTATATACATAGTGTGATACGTTATGTTTTCAGCATTTCTGACATTGCCTATTCCATTGTCAATGATGATGTTTCACTCCCAGCTGCGAAAATGTCCTGAAATAGAATACATGAATTTCAGTAGGATGACCAAATAACATGTCTTGAAATGTTGCAAACAAAATTTTAGTTTAAACCAGTTCCTGGTTGTTAGGTTATTTCTAAACCAATATCATGTGCATTCTTTCAACAGCAACTTAGGGGAATATGTGTATATAGTAGATTAAGTGAAGAATACATAGAGAAGTCAGAAGAGAGATTTCTGTTTCAATAAGATTAACCTTCTAGTTAATTATGGCAGCCTAAGTAAACTTTGCTTGTGTAAGTATGAAAAACTTGATGAGAAATGCATATACATAAAAATACTAACTAGGAGAACCGCTTTGATGTTCTTCATTGTTAAAAAAACTTCAAGCTCACCACATGCTCCTGCAGATTCAAAAAGACACATAATAGATCATTTGATGTGTCCTTGCCTGTAGTCTCGGCTTCCTCCTTGCTGGCTTTATGCTCTTTGACAATGTGGTCAAGTATCATGTCAATTTTCCTATTTTGCAAGGTCTTTATGTGATTCAAATTGTTGAAAATATCTTACTAGTTGCAGTAATGTAGTTTTTGGTTTTTAATTGTTTTGGGATGTTGCTTACTAGGTGTTGCATTGCATTTCATAATTTGATTTTTTGATTTTATTGGTTTTGGTTTTGCATTGCATTGCATTTTATAATTTCCTTGGCCTTCAACCTCACCAATTTGAAGAGTAAAGGCTACCCAAATGGGGATGACCCACCCAATTCACCTAATCTATATTCTTAGCCCCTCTTCTGAAAACTTTTGCAGTGCCGCTTTGGGGGAGGAGGCCTTTGTTCCTCCTCCCCTCTCCTCTCCTCTCCTCCTTCCCACTTCTTCCTTCTCCTTTTTTCTGTCTCTCTCTCCTTCGTGAGAGTCCTCTCTCTCCTCTGTGAGAGTCATCTCTCTCCTCTGTGAGAGTTCCTCCTCTCCTCTGTGAGAGTTTATGTTATTTTTATTTTCATTTAATTAAAATTGGATTTTTGCTCTTTCCTTGGCCTTCAACCTCACCAATTTGAAGAGTAAAGGCTACCCAAATGGGGATGACCCACCCAATTCACCTAATCTATATTCTTAGCCCCTCTTCTGAAAACTTTTGCAGTGCCGCTTTGGGGGAGGAGGCCTTTGTTCCTCCTCCCCTTTCCTCTCCTCCTTCCCACTTCTTCCTTCTCCTTTTTTCTGTCTCTCTCTCCTTCGTGAGAGTCCTCTCTCTCCTCTGTGAGAGTCATCTCTCTCCTCTGTGAGAGTTCCTCCTCTCCTCTGTGAGAGTTTATGTTATTTTTCTTTTTGCTTGTTTTTGCTCATTACCTCTCTGTATCTTCTCTCCAACTCCTTCCCATCCCTCTGATCTCCCCCATGTTTGACTTTCTTTATCTCTCCATGTTCACCCTCATCTTAAATCTCCCAAAATTTTACCCAAATTTGGAAAACCCTCTGTCTTCCCCATCCATAAATGTTGTTCTCCAGTCTACACTTCTCACCTCTACATCCCTTGCCCCTTCTCTGTTATGGTGTCCTCCACACATTCCCTCCGGCTATGTCCCGACCCAAGATCTCAACCACCAGCCACTGCTCCTCGGCTCCATGGTTGAGGAGGCTTCAAAAGTGCTCTTTGCACTAGCTTCTAGGATTATGGTAGCTCTCTTTGCGTGGGTGGTTTGTCCACCACCATTCTCCGTTCTAAGCATTGGTTTGTCTGGTTACTGGTTACTCATCTCTGGTGGTTGTGGATTTGCGACGGCGGCGCGGCATGAGGAGAGTGGCGGCTGTAGCTTCTCAGATTTAGGGTTCTTCCTTTGTGTTTGTATTGGGCTAGATGTTTGTTTAGGGTTTTCTTTTATGTGGTTTTTTTATTTCTGTTGGGCTGAGGCCTTGTATCTATCAGTGTTGGGCTGGTTTTTATTTTTCTTTTTTTGATTGTGTAATCCCTTTCATTTTTATGAAATGAATTACCTTGAACAAAAAAAAAAAAAAAGCCTAACAGAATAATGGGTACATATATTATTTCTATATATGGAGCTAAGACATTGCAAATATATTGTAAAAACAATTTACCTCCTTTGCACGGAAATAGAGATGTGATTGTCATTTGGAGCTTCCTGCATGTATAATACAGGTGTCAAGCTCGATAGCACAACCCCCGAATATGTTGTTAAAGTATTTTTTATTTATCTAAATCTTATTATATCTACTTTAAAATATTATTTTATAGAATTAATGTACCGACTTCGAATATTTATTTTTGTTATATGTGTATTATTGAAATCGAGTGATTTAAAATGAGATACATGAAAAATAATGCATTCATTTCAACACAAAAATCCCTAGGTACTCGGGAAAATCTTCATATTTCAGAAATATATGCTTTTTAAATGCCTCCATGTTCATTGTTTTGTCATCATTTTATCATGTGATTGTTGAAATCATTATTTTAACTCAACTTACTAAGCCTTACCCTCTATAAATTACACAGAAGGGAGAGCCTGCCTTCATCAACCATGGTGATATCAACAATGTCAGCTATACTATTGGTGTTGCACCTTTTTGTCCTTCATCTTCAATATTCAGAGGTTCAGTCTCTTGCCAATACTTCTTCTCATGGTAAGTACTTACTTTCATCATGGTTTTGACTTTTACTTCCTCACTTATTAGTAGGTGCATTTGTGCCCCGACTCCGCAGTTTCCCATACTCTGCAATGCAATTTTTGCTTCTATAAAATTAATTTTTGTTTTTGTTGCTAGTTTCGTTTTTGTTTTTGTTTTTTGCTCCGAAACTGAACCAGTTACCTGATTGGAGTTCCAGAAGTGTAGAGCGGGTTCTTCACGACATATTCCACATACAAGTTGTAAATGTACTTCAAAGATTCACGCAAGTCGCTGGTCCTGGGATGAGTAATTAAGATAATCTGCACGCACAAACACAAAACAAAGAGTAAGAAAGCAACAGCACATTAAGAATGAATCTGATTGTATGACAATTTGGTATACACAAACACAACCACACATGTCCAAATTTATAAGCTAAGCACAAATTCAAGTTCAAGAATGTAATTGA